TTTTATTACATCTCTCATTTGGTTTGAAAACATGGTTAACTGTAATAAATAGAAAACAAGTAGTACTCATTTTTCATAACGGAATGACATGACGAATATACGCTTTTGCTCAAATACGCAAAATATTATAGTTCCTAAAGATTAGTTTGCTGCTACAATAAATAATCCTATTCTCCAATCACAATCAGTATTGAACACAGTTGAATGGATAAAAGTATTCGAATGCATGGGTACGTTTAATTGACCAGCTAGACGAAGATATTGCCTCCTTTGTTAGTGACATCTTTTTTGTTCATCATAAACTTCGATCCCAAACGCTTTTTTCCAGAACAAAAAACGTTTTGATCCACTTCATTCTACCTTCTATAATATGATAATAGATTTGAGAAAAGACTCAAATTTTAACGACAGACATGGAGGCGTTTTGTGGAAGAGCTGATGCATGTAGACATGCACTTGCTGATCCCCTGACTGTATTTGTTTCGCATGAATGAATATCAAATTATTCCTGCAAGGTTAACGCACGTTGCCTTGATAGGAAAGAAAGAATAGTTAGTAATAAAACGATGTTTTTTTTGCATGGTTTGTTGTTCATACCAACTTTTTGCATATTGTGACTAAATTACGCATATCGTTGAAAAGTTTTAACAATTGACAACATTGTGTGAATACTGATTCAGGATCATACAGATGTTCTTTCGTATAAAATACATAAGTGTATTTAATGTTCTACTTACATCAAAATCGAAACAAATACCTTTTTTTTATGTTATCATTTTTCTTATCTTTGCTCTCTCTCTCTCTATATATATACAGTGCACTGTCTGAAGAAAACGTGCTTTCATATGTAATTTTGTATTTGCCCTTTTTATATTTTATGTAGTTGATATCTTTGCTGTCCACAAAACATGTCGAATACAAGCATTGCTGAGCAAGCTGCTGCACCAGTTGTCAGTGATTCACCAACTGTTATAGAACGATGGGAACGAGATTTTTCACAGACAAAAACTGATGGAATTACATATGATTACATTATTGTTGGCTCAGGCTCAGCAGGTGCTGTCTTAGCTAATCGTCTCTCAGAACAAGCTGATAAACGTGTTCTTCTTATTGAAGCTGGTGGTGTCGATACAATGGATCAAATACATATGCCAGCTGCTTGGTAAGTGAGAACTTAATCAAGTTCAAATGATCAGAGTATCATACATAGTGTTATCAGCTTTGACAAAAGACAACTGTTCTTCTAAAGTTTTACATTTCTTATAGAAGAGATTATTCGATAAAAAAAATGATCTTTTCAACGAGTACTATTGTAGTTTCTTTCGAAAAACTCTGATTTTCGAACTTTACAGAAAATGTTGTCGTACATTCGATTATGAACACAGAAAAAACGAGATTCAAATGAAAGTCCTCATTTCTTTTTATAAAATAAAAAACAGAATTTTTAAGAAATAAAGCCATGAAACTCATGCAAAATCTTACT